GCTTGAACTTGTCGGCTTCTACACGCTTGTGAGCCATTTATCTAAGATAAATTTCTCTCTCTCTCTCTTTCTCTCTCTATAAATATATATATATATATACTTCGCTGGTTTTTGTGTTTCTCTAGAGAACCCAATCCAACACATCTGGTGGCACAGTGGGTAAGGCATTTCACTGCTAACAAGGTTGGCAGTTCAAACCCACCAGCTGCTCTGTGGAAGGAAGATGAGACAATCTATTTCCGTAAAGATTTAAACCTGATGGGGTCGCTATGAGTCAGAATCGACTTGATGGCAGTGGGTTTGGGTTCTTTCACCGACTTACCTATGAAGTAGTATTGCACCCTTCCCCAAAAGAAAAGATGAACCAGAATCCAACTAGTCATTCAAAGCCCATCTCCAGTTTACAGGAAAGACAAAGACAGAGGAGTAGGAGTATGAGGAAACAGACAGACGACTCCAGAATGTGGGACATTCTATAGGAAAATGGACATGGTTTCTTCAACAGTCAACAGCATTATTGAAAAAGGGAATTAGGCTTATGGATTGCTACTGAAAAAAAGAACTCTTACAAGTCCAAACAATCAAATGCAATGTGTAATTCAAATCCTGATTTGAACAAATGAACTGTTAGAAGATAAGAACATGCACTGGATATTAAATTATACCAAGGAATTACTGTTAATTGAGTTAAGTATGATAAAGGAATTGTGGTTATATAAGAAAATATCCATATTTTTAGAGATGCATGCTACAGTATATAGAGCTGAGATGACATGAGATTCTGCTTCAAAATACTTTAACAATACAAAAAAAAAAAAAAATGGGAAAGTACGGTAAAATCGTAATATACCGAACCTGGGCGACTTGCATATAGGGGTTTGTTATACTATTCTTTTTATTTTTGTTTGAGATTTTCATAATAAAAAAAATAAAGGGGAAGAATCAAAAATATCAATATGCAAAACTATATTGATAAAAATACCTAGAAAAGCCAAAAAAAAACCAACTAAATCCTAGAATTAAAAGTTCAAAAAGTAGGATAATAGTAGATATTAAAAAAAAAAAAAATGGCCTTCTTATGTCAGAAAATAACCAGTTAGAATACTATACTGCTTAAGTATTAAGAAAATATAAACCACTTGCTAATTCATTAACAAGAGGGGGATGTGGGATGTTTGTGTGTGTGTGTCTACTACCTTAACACGTCTGGAATCACTCCCTTTCCTCCATTCCTATTACCACTGCCCCTGTCTTGGGGTATATCTCCTCTAGATGACTCCTAATTGGCCTCCCTGCCTGGTTGGTACCTCTATATGCCACCGTCCACACTATAGCTAGAGTAGCTGTTTTTTATTCAGTTTTATTATTTTCTCATTGAGGGACATTTTTCCTAAAAAATAAATCTGACTATTTCACTCCTCCACTTAAATCTTTCAATCCTATATCCAAATTCTTATCTTGTCATACAAGTTCCTTCACAAACTGCCTCACTCCCACCTCCTTCCTGGCTTCATTTCTGACTACTATCCAGCTCTCATCCTATACTCCAGCTGCTTGTTATTACTTTACTTTAGCTAACTGCAGCTCCTAAAATACTTCAGTGTTTTTTCTCGTCTCTTTACCCTTGAACATATATATCAATCAACATCCTATCTACCTGCAATATTCTTTCTTCCTCTTCACCTGGTTAACTTCATTCAGCCTTTAAGACTCGGTCAAGCAGGGGACATCGAGTTCAATTGGCATAACTACTACACAAAAACATTGTTTCACATCCTACTTTGGTATGTAGTGACTGGGGTCTT